GGCTGTGTCAGCCCTCATCAACAAATGCATTGAGGACATCAGCAAAACAAAGAACATCACCATCCGAGCCAACCAATGACCCTGGATGAATGGGGAGGTTCGGAAATCGCTAAAAGCATGGAACTCAGCTTTCAAGTCTGGTAATAAAGAGGCATTGAGGACAGGACGTGCCAACTTGAACAGTACTATCAGATCTGCAGATCAGATCTGAACCACAGCCGAAAGATCCAGGATCTCTTCCATGATGTCAGCAACACCAGGAAGATGTGGCAAGGTATACAGGCGATTACTGAGTATAGCACCCTCCCTCCTGGTAGATGCAGCTAATGCTGATTTCCTAAATGAACAAAATAACTTCACTGGAAGGTTTGAGGCACTATACAGCACTCCAGCAGTGACAGACATTTTTAACATCTCGCTGGACCAATCCATAGTGTCAGCATGCTTTAAGTCTGCCACCATCATTCCGGTCCCAAAGGCGCCTCAATTCTCCCCCCAACATTCGACACATTCCAATTTGCCTACTGACGAAACTGCTCCACTGAAGATGCCATCTTCAGGTGCCGATTGAGGTACTGCAACAAGATAATTTGCTCCTGCCCGTTATGTCCCTTTTGGGAATGGTAAATGGCCTGTACTGTATATAGCGCTTTTTAAAGTCAGAGGTCTTGACTACATTCAGTCATTCACCCATTCAGGCACACACTCACACACTGATGGTGACAGGCTATATTATAGCCACAGCTGCCCTGGGGCTCACTGACAAAGGCGAGGCTGCCATAAACGCCAACCACCTCCGACCACCATCATGCAGGTGAAGTGTCTTGCCAAGGACACTACAACACTGAAAGGCATAGCTGGGGCTTGAAACGACAACCCTCAGGTTGCACAGTTGGCGCTTGGCTTTACTGTCATGAATTTAAAGGCCTGAAGCAGTAAAAAGAGGTGGAGGAATATTAAATGAAAATTACAAACTTTACAGGAAATAAATGACAATAAGATGGCAACAGTGCACAAGGCAAATGGAAAACAGAGACTTATATACAACAGGAAAAACCTGAGAACAGTTAAATCATCTGAAAATATTGATAATTATTCAGTCTCTCAGAAAGTCACTGAGAGCTGTCAGCTGCTAGAAAATGGTTTGACCCGTGAGGTCTGACCAGGGCAAAGGAAAGAGATGGTGATCCTCATTAGGCAAGTCTCATAGGAACTTTAAGCATGGTCATACTTGTTAGGTTAAGAGATCTTAGAACCCTGGTTGGTTTGAGTTAGAACCACCCAAGAGGAGGGTGGAGAAGGGGTTAGGCTTGAGTGTGATGCCTTTTTCAGCTGATTACTTTTTCATCCACTTCTGACTCACTTGTGAAAACCCAGTGCATGGCTTAGGTCTTGGCATGAGGGATCCAGCAGAACCACATCATTTGTAAAACGCAGAGAGGAAATCTGCTCGTCTTCCAACAAGCCCCCCCTCCAGCCTTTGGATGAACTAAGAAATCCCTTTTCATAGAGATTATATAGGTCCCGTTGCATGTTGGACTCCTGCCCTGCTGAAGTCCAACATGCAATGGGAACAGGGCTGACTTAATACCTAAAAATCAGAACCAAACTTCTGCACAGAGACCCAATAGCCCATATGAAAGGTTCCATAACTCCATTTTCCTGGTATACTGGTATACCCACAAGGCATTGGAGGGGCACAGTCTAATAAAGGGGTGGGCAATTCCAGTTCCTGGGGGACATCGGAGAAACCACCAGTGAACCGTTGCAATGGGGACATGAAGATAGTCATCCTTAAGGTCATTTGATGTAAACCAATCGTCCCGGGCAAGACTCTCTTGGTTGTCAGCATGCGAAAGGGCATGTCCTTCAGAAATGAGTTCAGTCCCCTGAGTCTTAGAAATGGATGAAGGTCCCCAGTCTTTTTTGGGACCAGGAAATAGACAGAGTAAAAGCTACCTGGATCCAGCAGGGATCAACTGGCACTATCGCTTCCTTGTCCTGCATGGTGCAGATTTGTGTGAGACATAGTTACATTGCTATTGTGGGGTGATTCCTGAGATATTATGTGGCACAGTTCATCTATTCATCACAGCCACAGGTTTACAACACATCCTAAATTTATGTAGCAGCCTGGCCTATCAGGTGATGAAATTATTTAGTTATTAATGCATATTTAGGCTATGTGTTTTCTTTATTTCAACAATAAAACTAAAGGTAGATACACAATATTGTATTGTGTATCTACCTTTGTCAGTGTAAATACAAAAGTGTATTTACACTGATTAATCTAATTTTTTTAAACATGCAAAGGAAGCCTTTGTAATAACGCTAATTTTTTCCAGGTTTCCTGACAGATGACAAAGAAGAAAGATTCCTGCTTTGATTTGCTTACCATGACAAGAAACTGGTGAAAGATGAGAAGAATTCATGCAAGACCAACCGTGAGAAACCTTAAAAGCCTAAAGGACCGCTCTTTGATGTTTGGCTGACCAATGTTAACTAAAGTCAAAGAAGGACTTTATATTTTTATAAAAACATCTGACAAAGAAAGATAAGGTCCCATCCATGGATTTCATATCTTTTATTCCGAAAAGGAACATCAAATATATGTATTATTATCTATATTGTCTTATGTTTTCTTTTTTTTTTTATATTTTCCTGTCAGATCGGTCACATCTAATTGGTTCTAAACTGCTTCTGCTGACTTTGTCTCGCATTTGAAATCATGCTGTATCCACTTTTTTCCACACTAATATGCTGGCCAAGCTAAGAAAACATGGACTACATGCAAGACTATAAAATATCTCAGGTTGTTTCCATGAGTTGGCTGCAGAGAAAGTGAAGGAGGGCATCTGGAATTATATACAATCCAGTTGAGCTTAGAAGGTTACATGTGTTCATCACTTGCATGAATATCATAATTCTTTTATAATGTTTTATTTTGTAAACAACAATCTGAGACACCAATCTAAATTATTATGAGATTTCTTAAATACAGGTCCTTCTCAAAATATTAGCATATTGTGATAAATCTAATTATTTTCCATAATGTAATGAT